TTGGTAGAGACGGGGTTTCCCCCATGTTGGTCAGGCTGGTCTCGAACTCCTGACCTCAGGGCATCCACCCTCCTCGGCCTCCCAAAGTGCTGGGATTCCAGACATGAGACATCACGCCTGGCCTTTATTCCATTCCTTTCTTAATAAACTTGTTTTCCCTTTACGCTATGGACCAGCCCTGAATTCTTTGTTACACAAATTGCATTCTGTAGGATCAGGGGGTGGTGTCTCTTTTCTGACTCAGGAAGAGAAGGCGGGTGATTTGCACCAAACCCTTTCTTAGGACTCAGCGTTCGAGACCAGCCCGACCCAAACAGTAAAACCCTGTCTTTCCTAAAAATAAATTAGTAGGGTGGTGGCGGGCACCTGTAGTCCCAGCTCCTCGGGAGGCTGAGGCAGGAGAACTGCTTGAACCCAGGAGGCGGAGGTGGCAGTGAGCTGAGATCACGACACTTCACTCCAGACTGGGCAATAGCCAGACTGTCTTGCTCTGTTGCCCAGGCTGGAGGGCAGTGGCACCATCTGGGCTCACCGCAGCCTCTGCTTCCTGGCTTCAAACGATCCTCCTGCCTCAGCCTCCTGAGAAGCTGGGATTACAGGTACCCACCCCCACGCCCGTCTAATTTTGTATTTTTAGTGGAGACGGAGTTTCTCTATGTTGGTCAGGCCGGTCTCGAACTCCTGACCTCAGGTGATCTGCCCACCTCAGCTTCCCAAAGTGCTGGGGTGACAGGCGTGAGCCGCCGTGTCTGGACAAAGGAAGGAATTTTTAACAGGACCCATTTAGGTTTAAACAAGTCTTATGGGGGGGGGGTGTAAACAAACTCCCAAACCCTTTATGATTTCACAGAAGACAAGATAAGGGTCATTACCTGTAATCCCAGTGGTTTGGGTGGTGGAGGTGGGGGGATCATTTGGGGTCAGGAGTTCGAGACCAGCCTGGCCAACATGGAGAAACCCCGTCTCTCCCGAAAACGCAAACATTGTCTGGGCGTGGTGGCTTATGCCTGTGGTCCCAGCCTCAAGTGATTCTCCTGCCTCAGCCTCCCCAGTAGCTGGGATGACAGGTGTGCACCAGCACATTTAGCTAATTCTGTATTTTTAGTAGTGACGGGGTTTCTCCACGTTGGCCAGGCTGGTCTCAAACTCCTGATCTCCTGTGATCCGCCCACTTCGGCCTCCCGAAGTGCTGGGATGACACGCGTGAGCCACCTCGCGTGGCTAGTTTTATTATTTTTTAATTTTTTTATTTTTTTTTGAGATGGAGTCTCACTCTGTCGCCCAGGCTGGAGGGCAGTGGTGCAATCTCGGCTCACTGCAACCTCCGCCTCCCGGGTTCAAGTGATCCTCCTCCCTCAGCCTCCCCAGTAGCTGGAATGCCAGGCGACCGCCATCATGCCCGGCTAATTTCTGTATTTTTGTAGAGACGGCGTTTCATCATGTTGTCCAGGCTGGTCTTGAACCCCTGACCTCAAGTGATCCGTCCGCCTCAGCCTCCCAAAGTGCTGGGATGACAGGCGTGAGCCACTGCGCCCGGGTATTTTATTTTAATTTCTTCTTTTTGAGGCAGCTTCACTCTGTGGCTAGGCTGGACCGCAGCGGCTCAATCTCAGCTCGATGCAAACTCCATCTCCCAGGTCAAGTGATTGTCATGGGTCAGGATCCCCAGTAGCTGGGATGGCAGGTGCCCGTCACCACACCTGGCTGATTTTTGCATTATTTTTGTGAGCCTCCTGTGCTTACACGTTGCATGACTTTGCACAGCTCGGCGGGGCACGGCGACTCACGTCTGTCACCCCAGCACTTTGGGAGACCGAGGCGGGCAGATCACCTGAGGATGGGGGTTCGAGACCAGCCCGGACATCATGGAGAAGTCCCGTCTCTACTAAAAATACAACATTGTCGGGCGTGGAGGCGCATGCCCATGATCCCAGGGAGGCCGAGGCAGGAGAATTCCTTGCCAAGATGGCACCATGGCACTTCAGCCTGGGCAACAAGAGCAAATCTCCATCATGGACGCGGCGGCTCACACTTGCAATGCCAGCATTTTGGGAGGCCAAGGCGGGTAGGTCACGTGAGGCTGGGAGTTCGAGACCCGCCTGACCATCATGGAGAAATTCCCGTCTCTACTAAAAATACAGAATTAGCCGGGCGCGCTTGGTGGGGGCGGGGGCCTGTCATCCCAGCTGCTCGGGAGGCTGAGGCAGGAGAATCGCTTGAACCCGGGAGGCGGAGGTTGCGGTCAGCCGAGGTCATGCCACTGCGCTCCAGCCTGGGTGACAAGAGCGAAACTCCGTCTCAAAAATAAATAAATAAACGGAAGTGTGTGTCTTGTCTCTTAGAACCATCTGGGTCTTTCTTAGTGATTTTTCAGCAAACCGTTAGCGGGGAAAGAGCCCTGCCCACCCCCCCACGCCGCAGGAAGGCAGAATTAGGGAAGCTGGTGAGCATGGCGTTACTGAACAGGATGACAGAGGCTGCTGATGTCACTCATGAGGCCGCGGGCGATGGAACACCCGTGTCCCCTCCCGCGTGGATGGGCAGGGGCTGAACGTGGATCGCTGTGGGTCTTCTCCGGCCAAGCCCATTTCCAGGACACTCCGTCCTTCTCTGCCTTGTTACACGCTGAACACCCAACACCCAGCCTTCCCCAAACGGAAGTCTGGCCTTGGCTCTCGGCTGGAGGGCGGTGACCTCTCAGGTCCTGGAATGGCCCCTGGGACTCCCTTTGCTGGCGTGGCGGCTTTGGGCTCTTCACGGTCTAACACGGTGGTTTAAGGTGGGGGCCTTGGACCAAGTGAGATCAGTTCTGACTTCCAGGAGGGAGCCTGAGAAATAGCAGATGGACCCGATCTATCTATCTATCTATCTATCTATCTATCTATCTATCTATCTATCTACGTATCTATCTATCTGTCTGTCTGTCTGTCTGTCTGTCTATCCATCCATCCATCCATCCATAATCTGATACTATCTATTTGCCTATCATCTATCTATCACCTGATTCTATCTATCTATCTATCTATCTATCTATCTATCTATCTATCTGTCTATCCATCCTTCCATCCATCTCTCCATCCACCCATCTATCATCTATCTGATTCTACCTATCTATCTATCTAT